ACCTTCTAGAGCTGGCTGTGACCTTAGTAACATTGACTACAATTTGGCATAGTCATCTGTAACCCCCTAGACTAGGGCACCTTTGGCTATTATTTTCAATTAGGGAAATTTGTTGCAAAGACAGCCTTTGAACTTTGAAATTTGTGAAACTGTATGTGAAGCATCATGGGATATGGAGCTAAAATTAGTATCTGACTTGAGATCTGTGTATGGGAGGGGATCAAGCAGCTGAGAGTATTAACCCCAATAGAAATTGCTAGCTATGGTGTCACAGCCTGGTAGGCCTCGCATAGTATCCAAAGGTCGTGGGTGCTTTTTTGGTCATGATCCCATCGCAATTTCTCAGCACCAGAGCAGCCACTCTAAAGGGCGATCCAGTGTTGGCAATTCTTGGTGGAAATAAGAAAAGGTGACCACCACAAGCAAGCATATCTATAGGTGACGGGAACTCAGATATTAGGTAAGGGCTCCAAGCAGAGACCAGGCCTGAATGGGGATTGAGGCAATAACAGGGTAGCCAATAGAAGATAACAAGTTGAAACCAAGATCAGACTAAGACAGGAAAAACATGGCAAGGGGCAAGGTGAGTATTAGAGAGTATGTTTGCACCAGGGTTTGCCCTTGTGTCACAGGATTTCTTGTCTGAGTGAAGTTAAGTAGATTTTGGGACAAAAGAAGACCACTGTAGTCCTCTCTGGCTCCCTGGACCCTGGATTTGGAAGGAAGCTTCACTCAAGCTTCACTGAATGTTGAGATTGACTGAAACAAGTGTGACATTTTCATCTCTTTGTCAAGATTTGAGCAGAAACTGGGCCTTAAGGGATCCACTGAGGAGAACTGAAGAATGCACCGAGAGCCGGGAAACTAAGGTTGGAGCAGTCACTGGCAGTCTGGTGAAAGACGTAGGTACTTTATGCCTAATACGTGTTTGGTTTTTGTGTTTTTGGGTGCATGTTTTTGTATTTTTATAACTTAGAAGATAGAGGAGGTAGTAATGGTGATTTTAGAGGAAAAAGTAAACTCAGTGTGAGATGTAGCTGTACAGACAGTAAATGATCTGCAGTGGCTAAGACTGAGCTCATCCAGAGGGGCACAGTTACAAGAACCGGGAGTTGTTTTGCCTGAGCAAAGTGAGAGGCTAAATGGATAGATAACCTGAAAAGATTATAAGAACTAATATGCCTATTCTGGCTCTTACTATGCCAAGGAGCCTGCCACCTCCCATTAGTTGCAGTAAAACTAGTTTCCTCACTTCTCATCCACTCCATCTTCATGGAAAATAATTAGAAAAGCCTGAAATGCTAGGGAAATGCATAGGAACTGCAGCTACTAAACTCTCCTCTCACAACCTTCTCTTCTCCCCTCTTCCCTGGAACAAGCCAAGAGTATTTGCCCTCTTTGTGACTTTGCTCTTGCTTTCTGAGGCCTCAAATTTTACTACTTCTCACTCTTCTCTGCTCATTTCTGTCCAACTGACAGTTCAAACACCATCTTAAATGCTAATTCCTTTGCAAAGCTTCCTCAACCCCCACCCCACACCTACACTTGCTCCTCTAACACTGACTGTCTGCATATTTTGCACTTGCCTGAAATTAACTATTTCCTGGATGTGGATTCTTCTCTTTTGTACAACTGTAAGCTTCTTTCAATCCCCCATAGCGCCTGGCCCAAAGATGGTCAGGCAGCCCCCTTTCCCATTGATGTACTGAGTGCATGGATGGGCTTACCCCAGACTTCCCTCTGTCTCCCAACTAACTAATGATGCTGTGCAAGGTTTCAAGTAAGTCATGGGCTTTGAGGATCTGTTGGTCCAGAAGTTCACATGTGCATCAGTGTTTGAGATGCAAAGAGAGAGACAGTAATCACGTCAAAAGTTTGAAGATGTATAATATAATCTGCATTGTTTTTCTCTGTGCTGAATTCAATTCAGCTGTGCTGTTGCATGGAATCTTCACTCCTTTGGGAGCTAGATATTGCCAACTTTCTTTGACATATCCAGGAACTCTGGCTCAGAGAGTTCAAGGAGTGTGAGGACCATAGTTAAGAGGCTGGTACAGACCAAGACCATGTCTCAGCATCTCAATACTTGAGTTCTGCCTTTGTGTGTTCAATCCTTTCACACTGGTCCCTGCCACAGAACCTCTGCACTTCTCCAGTTAGATTTTAGAAAAGTCTTATATTTGACTACGTGTCAACATGCCCTTCATCCCCCAGCAAATATGGAGCCTTTTGGGGCCATTGGGAAGCCAGCCCAGGGCCAGGTACAGAGAAAATTCTTCTTAAATGCTCACTTGATATTTCTTGGCAGTCTTCCTTTAGAAACTGCTGCAGAGGGATCTAACTAAAGATTAATGACTCCCAGCTCTACAATGGATCTCTTTGGTAGAGTCAACATTTGTTACCTTTTTCCAATGTGATTATTTGTGTGTCTCTGTTTTGTGGGCTACCCAAATAAGACACAGATTTCTTTTACTGTTTTTTTTTTCCTCTTTTTTTTATGTCCTCTTTTATTTTTAAGGAAGTTGCCTGATAACCATATAATTTTTCCAAGCGTAGGTCTATATTCAAAAAGCTTAACTCCCCTTCACAAAACCTAGCTTTAGTTATTCTCCTTTTTTTTTTATTTAGTTAGATTTTTTCTGATTAGCCATGTGGTGTTAATTTGTCAGCCACCATCTCCCCACAGGCTGGGACACTCCAGAAAGGTTGCAAGACCCTTCAATCTCTTTCTTAACCCTTCTTTAACCCATAAGTAGCAAGTTGTAGTCAAGGCAGACAGACATAAAAAGACACACATACAGGCACACATAATACGTGTGTGGCAGAAGTTTGCTTGCCTCCTTTGTGGCTGCTTGGTGACCTCTGATGCCTGGATGACGTTGATGATGATGATGATGATGATGATGATGATGATAGTGATAATGAATTTCTGTGCATGCCTTGATAAGTAGTCATAGACATTGGGTGGTTCCCCTACTAACACCTCTAGGAGAAGATGGGTGCAGGCACTGGCTCTCTCCACAGCCTCTTGGCAATAGGAGGTGGATAGGAAATAATGACACTGGTTGAAACAAACACGATGTTTCTCAGTGACAGCTTGCTGCAGAGCAAAACACCCTGGACTGCTAAGCTCCACACTTCTCATTTCTAGTCCAGTGCTTCAGCTAATTATCTCTGTGACCTTCCTTAAGCTCTTTCCTTCCTAAATCTCCATTTCTCTATCTGTAAATTAATGAGTGGAAGGGTGGGAGATGATAGTAAAAAATACTCTTGAACTCTGAAAGTCTCAGGGCACTGTTATGTTTCCTGCAAGCACCTCTAGGGATGCAGCTCAGTTGCTCTAGTTGTAATTCAAATATCTCCAGATCCCTTCTCCAGGAGGCAGTCTGGGAATATCAGCCCCAGCCTCTTTCCCACTTCAACTCCAAAGACTAAACTCCATCTCCCTCTTCCCGCAGCATCAGACTCTGGGAGAATCGGTTTTCAAAAGCTTCCCAAAACACAAATCCTCCTTGGGTGTGCGTCCTCAGCTTCCTCACTAACCTGCCACATCCAGTTCCCAAAGTAGTACTTCCTGGGTATTGGAGGAAAATGTAGTGTCTCCCAAGGAAGCTGGATGCTGAACCCTGGAATCATTGCATGCGTTTTTGAATTTGATGGCTTCGTACTGGAGAAAGCAGGGCATCAGCATCATTCTGGCCCCTTTCCAGGCGACGTTTACTTGGGCTCTCAGTCTCTATAGTGTCCCCTCCCTACTATCCGACTGTCTCCTGCTTCACTTTCCTTGTGCAATCCAAAAATTTATGCAGACCCTTCCTGGTGATCACCCTCCCTCGACGGCCACCCAGGTCGTTAGTACCGAATGAGGCGTCCAGCTTTTCAGGCAGATCATAGGTCTGTTTGTCCAGCCGCCACCTTAGTCGCCGCAGCCCCCTCTCAGTTCTCTGCACTCCAGCTCCAGCTGGTATTTTGGGCACTGGTGCAAAAGAAAAAAAGGAGAGTAAAGGAAAAGGGAGGTGAAGAAGGCGGATGATGGGAGTTGCCAAGAGAAGATCCCTTGAGTCTGGGCTTCCAGTTTCAGCAAGAGGGAGGAGGAGAAGCCAACAAATGGCAGAGAAAGGAGGGGCGCTGAGACTGGAGTGGCGAAGACTTTGCCAACCCCTTTTGCTCCCCAGCGGGGATGAACAGGGCGGGGATTGAGCCGCGGCTCCCCATTGGCTCTCTCGCAGACCCCTAGACTTTCTATAAAGGGTGGCTGCAGAAGGCACTGCCTTCACTAGCTCAGAGCGCAGCGCCTGAAGGCTTTAGACAGACGGATTCACCGACTAATTGAAGGCTATAGAAATTTAGTTGGAACAACCCTGGGCTGCGAGAATGAGGAGTGGTGCTGGGGCGGCGCGTGGAGTTGCTGTCCCGAATTTAGAACTGGCACTGCCTGCGCACCCTAAGCTGCGGAGAGTTTGGAGCCAGCTGCATTTGCTCGCCCCGCGCTCGACTGCCCCGCTCAGTTTCGCGCACTTGCCCTCTCCAAGCCGGTCCAGCGATCCAGTCTTTCGCTTTCCTTCTTGCCGCCCCCGCCTCCCGCACTCTCCCTGCCCCCACACCTGGGAGAGCGCATTCTCTGCTCGGAGCTGCAGAACGCTGACCATCGGTCGCCTAGCGCTCTGTGGAGACCCCTCACCCTTCTCTCTTTCTTCTCCAGGCGCTCCCTGACCCAGTTGCTTAGGGACCTTGAGGTTTTCCACGGGCGTCATACTGGACGCCGTGATCACAGAATCGCCCCAAGGGGCTTTCCCGAACCCCAGCACCATGAGCTATGCGGATGAGCTGACCCCCGAAGCTCTGAGTGTGCCGAGCGGGTTTGATGACCTGATCACCCCCACCGCCTCCCAGGTGCTGCAGGCTATTTCTAATGCTGCGTCTGCGGTTGGTAGCTCAGGCCGCGATAGCGTGCTCTCCATGATCCATAAGCTGCCTGAACATGTCTCGAACATGGGCAACCTGGCTGGCATGTCAGGTCCCATGGCTTCGGAGGTGGTGTCCCAAGATGAGCAGGTACAGTTCTGGTTAGTAATGGGGTCACTATAGTGGTATTTGCTGCTATACTAGGCAATTGGATCTTAAACCATGTGATTATGAAGCACAGGAGGGTGCACACTGCCTCCGGCCTCTTTGTTGTCAACATCTCCGTGACCAACATGATGCTGGCTTTTCTCAGCTCCCCCTTCACCATGGTAAGCTGGGTGCTGAGGAGGGGGACCCGGTGGTCAGGCCTTCAGAACAGAAACACGCTTTTGCACTTGCGACAGAGAGAGCTGTGTGGTGGGAAGGAACGCGGAAAGGGGTTGGGTTGATTTGGAAAGTGCGTAGAGACAGGAATGGCTGAGAGAATTTGTAAACGGTTTGGAAACTAGCGGCGGAGGTATTGGCATTATTGTATCTATGTTGCTGAATTAATCTCCTGCCTTGGCAGAGGCTGAGAGACTTAGGGTGCCCGGAGAGGCAACAGGGATCCGTTGCCGGTGAGCTTTACAGTGACATTGAGTAGAGGAGAAACCTAGCCTCAGTTGCCCCATCTTTCAAACGCAGTGTTTAGAATGGATGGTGGCTAACCCTTCTTGTGATTTGGATGGAGTCTGTGTCCAGGCTGCAGTCTTTGTGTGGAAAAAGATGGGAAGGGTGTGACAGCTGCAGTGTGAAAATGTTTCTTTGCTTCCTGAGACAATGTCAGCAGTTTGGTGAAGCAAGAGGCTTCTACTTCTGTTTTTGAGCTTGTAAGAGGAGAAAACACAGGACTGAGTCTTTGTGCCTCATCATGCCCTTTCTCCCACAGGTGCACTATCTGTGTAATTCCTTGGTATTTGGGAAGATGACATGTCACCTCAATCATTTTGCTCAGTATTCTTGTGCCTATGTAACTGTGATGACCATGGCTGCTATTTCTCTGGACCTACATGGGGTATGTGTTTCCCAGGGCTCTTTAGGTCTTGCAAAGGGATAGATTCCTTTATTAGATAGATAGAAGCAGCTCAGAACACAAATAATCTAAAATGTTCTTTGAATTCCTTGAGACAATCTATGTGAATATATATCTAATTTAGGAGGATTGCAAGATGGTGAACTACAGACCTTCACCATATCAAATCTTATGTATTAAAAATGCCATTATGTTTGATATGGTGCTATGGAAGCAAAGATGTAGCAATAAGCAAATGATAAAAGTGTCCTCCTTTGGAAAACATCTTTTATTTGATGTGTTGCAGGATGAGCTAAGGAAAGAAAAAAGGAAAGGATTAGTCAGAGGAGGGTATGGCTTCAGGGCTGATGATGGGTTGAGTATAGGAAGTGGGCTTGAAGTCCATGAGTGAGAGCTGAGCAAAGGAAGTGGGAAGGCATGGAGAGACTTGAGGAAGGAGTTGGGAGGAGGGATGAAAGTGACTTAAAAGGAAAGAGATAGGGCAGGGGTGAGAAGCTGGGAGGGGTTACATTGTTAATCAGTTAGGAAGGAGCCAGAAGACAAGTGAGGTGGGAGGGACATAGAAGGAAATTGAAGGGTTGCAGCTGAAACCAGATGGAAGGGGCCATGAAGAAATCTAAGGGATAAAAGATGGAGAAAGATGAGAGAGGGCATGGAGGAATGGAAGAAGGAAGAAGAAGGGAGGGAGGAAGGGCAGGAAGGGAGAGTGACCATGGAGGAATCAATATGGGAGAGAATGGAGGGAGAAGATAAAAGAGCATGAAGAGAACCAAGTGAGTAAAAGGATGCAGGGATTTGAGGTGTTTACCCATCCATATATGATAAAGAAAAATATAAGTCACACTTTTGGACATCCATCCTTTTTTCCACTGAACTCCCTACTCAGAGACAGAAAATTTGACATCACTTGGATTCCTATTTTCTCATTTAAATGTTTTTCTCTATACTAACCAGCTTTGCTCTTTCATAAAACAAAATGCCATTCATCTGTCAACTGAACTAGTACCCAAAGCACATTACTCACCCACCTACCAAGTTTTTATAGCTTTGAAAAAGAATGTCAGTTGCTGAATGCCTAATAAGTAACCCTAATTTGAATTGTTGAATTGATCTGGGGTCCTTTTTCTTCCAGGTGATGCTATATCCCCTGAGGTCCAGAATTACTCCAATGCAAGGAAATGTTTGCATCATTCTCATTTGGATTGTGAGCACCTGTGCTGCTTTCCCACATGCCATTTACCAATACCTTTACCAAGTTGAGATTGGGTAAGAGGAACACAGTATGGCCACTGTTTGGATTTCAGCAATCCATGACCTTGGAAGCCTCATGAATAAGGGGAATGGAACAGGGACTGGAATAACACATTTCAAAACATGGATACGAAAATAAATTTCTATAAACTAGAATTTATTAAGATTACCCAAGAACTCTCATGACAATGGGTTGTTAGACATATCACTTTCTACTTGAAGTCCATTGTGTCCCTATATGCCGTGTTAGAGGTCTGGAATAGGGGAACCCTAAAGCTCCCTGCTTTATAACCCTAGTCTTTGTGCCTAACAGACACAAATAGTAAATATGTCTCTTCCTTAAGGCCTAACTGCCATATAATGCTTAGCTATGGGTCTTAGGAAAAGGGAAAATTAAGTTAATGTTTCTCTTTCTCTATCTGTCTTATAACATAGAAACAGAACTGATGAAACTGTCTGTGTTCCCAGTTTCTCATATACTTCAAAGTCCACATGGAAATACCTTGACCTGAGCACCTTTTTGCTCTTCTTCATCTTGCCATTGATGGTGCTGATGATTGTCTATGGTCATGTGGCCAAGAAGCTGTGGATCCATAATGCTCTAGATGATGTAAATATCCACACTTACGTCTGCCAGCGTGGGAAGAAGAAGGAGACACTGAAGATGCTGATTATTGTGGTGCTTGTCTACACTATCTGCTGGCTTCCTCTCAACCTCTACCTGGTGCTTCTATCCAGTGAATCCATCTCAAGCCACAATGGTCTCTACTTCTTCCTACACTGGCTGGCAATTAGCAGCTCATGCTACAACTCTTGCATCTATTGCTGGCTCAGTGATAGCTTCCAGATTGAAGTTAAGAAAGTCATAATGGAAATCCATAAGATGCTGAGCTCTGTCTCACCCACTCACCACTCTGCTTGGGTGGATCTCAATCCTGAAGTGCCGAAATTCCCACGATTCAAAGACTTCGATGAGCTACCCAGTCCCCCTCCATCCCCAGAAGTAGAAACCTCCTTTCTCTACCCACCAGTGCCTAGAGTTTAAGCTGCCCAGACCGCGATAGATTATCCATCTTCAAAATCTCTTAGACAGGGTGGAAACAAAATAATTAGGTTTCATTCATTTTTCATGGTAGAGGGAGTAAGAGTAAGGGTTGGAACTTGAGAGATGGAGGCCATATAAGCACCATATGCGTCTCACTTGCTCTTTCATTTCTTTCTGTTTTTTCTCCTGTTCTCATTTCCTACATTTTTTTCTTTCTCCCAACAGTGAGTAAACTGAAGTAATTAGACCTCCAGGTTCATCAAGATGTGTCTACATCACTTAAAGAAAAGTTACACTTTGACTTGTGGTCTCCTGAATTTCATCTCTTATTCTGGAGACTGTTCCCCTCTCCATTCTTTGTGTTCTCTCCTGCCCATGGTACTTTTCCTCTGACATCATAGTTATTGTCTCAGGAGCTGCAAGAGCCACCAGAGATTCTTATTAGTATTTTATTTAGATAGACAAGAGGACTATATCCATATTATGTCCAAAATGTTTCCATGAAAATGCCAGAAAAGAAATGATAGTTCCTGAAATTTAATCATGTTCTCTGGGAACTTGAAGCTCCCTATAAATGCAAGTAGTCATATCTTATCTCCTTATGGCAGAATGAGAATGAGAAATCTTACTGGAACAGACAAGGCAGTTAATATCACACATCACCTGGGATATTTCTCCAGATTACAAATACAATAATTTAATTATAGCTTTCCTTTAAATGTAGTAACAAGTCATATGTCCAAGTTAGAACTGCAAAACCAAAAAAAATTCTCCCTGTTTCTTGACTCACATTTAATGCCATACCTTGTCTCATGTAAACTTGTAATGTCTAGTTTTGCCTTTGTTTTTCTGGAAAAGGAGAGAAAGTGTGTAATGTGTTCACTGTTGATTTAAATGTTTCCATCTCTCTAGTCTATGAGGATTTCAACTCAGCAGGA